CAAGACCATGAAAAAAGATGTAACAGAAACTTGTGTCTTGATACAGGCCGGGAAACGAGACATTGGGGTGAGAAGCCCTGTCTAGACTTGCTGTGCAGGTCTAGCTGCACCTGGCCATGCTTGCGGCTGAGCCTGACTCACCACCATGACTCTGTGGCCTCAGACCTGTGTCATTGCTTTTCCCTTGCCTGGCGAGCAGTGGACTGCTATCTGATGCTGTTCTGCTCACCTCATTTGGGCACTGTGGGACTGTACCCACGTGGGTGCCATCCCTCCCCTACCTGCCTTGCTTCACCCTGGAGCTGGCCTCTGCTTCCCTGGCAGGGCAGCTGGCCCTTGCTGCTTCCTGCATCCAGGATGGGGAGAAAGGGGCAAGGAGGATGGGGATAGGGACTGGGGTTGGAGAGGAAAGCTGCTGCAGAAACAGATGGCTCTTTGAGTTGATGAAATGCTGAATATCCCGAATAAGGAGAAAACCTAAAAAAAGTTGATACAAGAATTCAAACAAGAGGAGGCCACTGCTCAGTAGCCAAAGAATGAGCTGCAAGAGGAAAAGTCAAATATTTCGACTAACTGTGGAGCTGAGAGCAGGGCTATCTGCTGGGGCAGAGGGGGAGCTGTGAGTCCTGCTGAGCCACAGAAGGAGTCTTTCGACTGTGACTGGAGCGGGGCAAGATGTTATTTGACAGTGGAAATGCCTCGCTCTCTTTGGAGACATAACTCTTTATGGAATAATCTATTAATGCCATTTAAGAAATTGAATTCCTGTTTCGCGAGAATTTTATTTATGCTAAATCAATACATAAAGTCAGAATTTCATTTTATTGCTGCATAGAAATTATATTAAGAAAGTAGCATAGAAAAAAGAAACACTTAATGATACTGAACTGTTCTAGTCTTGAAGTGGTTTCAATGACATAATGATCTATTAAAAATAATATATTTCAATATTTCAGAGAAGAGCAGGAGTAAAAGGAAGTAGAGTGCTAAATTTAGAACGAGATATTGTTATTCTAGAAATGACATATTAATGTTAGTAAAACAGGATGAAAATTATTCATTGTCTTTTTTTAAAGAAAAAAAATCAAAATTGACACTTCTTGCCAAATGTCTGCATTTCCAAATGTCATCACTCCATCTCCCAGTGATAACTTTCTGTTGTCAATTTTTTGTACCATTTTTCTCTGCAGTTGAAGAACATGCACATTGACTTCTATGGCAACACCAGGAGAGCTGACAGATAACTTTTTAGTAGCCATCGATGCCAGCACTGATTTAGTCCGTGACAACACGAGTGCTCTGTATGTATGCAGACTCCTGTACCTCATCTGTAGTTTATTTTTTGCAAAGTCATTTTTGAAAACCACTCCTATGAAGCAAGCCCATCAGCCACACAGTCCAACATTGTCTCAGTGCTTCATTGCCCCACAGAAAACTTAGTCCAGGCCCACCGCATCATCCCCGTTTCTCTTATTCTTCTTTTTTTTATGCAGAGCAGCTGCCAAGTCAACTCATCCATTTCTTGTTTGGAACATGATCTCACACTTAAGGCTATGAATTACACACATACCCAAACTATCAAGACGAAATATGCAGAGTTTGGGTAAAACACACACACGCGCACTCTGAACTAGTGCTTGGTCTTGGATAGATGCAATCTCTGCAGTGCTGTGTGAACAAATGTCATCTTCGTTACCTCAAATGGCTCCGAGTTGCTGAAATGGAGTGAGCTGAGTGCATTGCAGTAGGGCTCTGGACAGAGCAAAAGGCATCAGAAGAGTTTCAGCACAGCCTGGCGGGTGAGCTCTGAAAATACAGCAGGTCCACCCCAAGGACTCTGTGGAGTGTCAATGTTTGCGAGCTCTGGGTCTCAGCTGCCTGCCAGGCAAGGTCAGGTCAGGCTGTAATGAGGTTTCATCTCCAAAACCGAAAATTTGATACTGAGTGCTAAAACTGGCCCAAAGAAAATTTCCTTTTTATTTTTTCCTCTGTATATTAGGCAGTCACACTTACGACCGCATTAGTTTGGCCAGACATGGCGGTGTGTAGCTGTGGGATTCAAGAGACAACTCACCTGTAAATAGTTATATGCCTATTCCTCTGAAAAAGGTTTATTATGTTAATTTCAAAAATTCAGTAAGATTATGCATTACTTATGCTAACAATCCTCAGTCTGAGGACATAACTATTTAATAAAACCCTGTTTTTCACTAAGGTTAAAACAATGGGACTAATGTTACAGTAACTTGTACTAAGCATCCTTCCTAAATAATATTTTTTTTGTTTCTAGAAAGTAGATCTTCTGGTATAAACTTGCTTAGTACTTTTGTAGTCAACATCTTCCTTTCATTTGCATCGAAAGCACTGACTTACAAAACTTTTGTATAAAACTTTAATTCTACGTTGCTGTACCTTTAAAATTATTGGATTCTGTTCTTCTTTGGAAGATGTACATTTTTCTGAAGGAGAGCTGATGCATACAGACATGTGCTGTACTCTGTAACTGAAACTTTCCTTTTCTTCTATTTTGGTTTTCCCTACTCTAAAACACAACACTGGTTCTTGGCAAACAGTTGCTTTATGTATGGAAAATAGCTGTGGTACAGCTGTGTAAAGTCCTCAGGGAATTTCTGATATTCCTTTAGAAGCAACCTGGAGAATGTACAACGTCAAAAAAATTGGATCTTTACAAAAGCAAGATGCCTGTCGAAGAGATAAGCGTTGCTACTGGAGAGTTTTTCTGAGGAATGTTAAATAAAGGATATAATTTCCAGCTTACTGAGACACCTGTCTGAGCCACTATTTGTTCTTACTTTCTTTGCCATCTCAGACAACCTATGACTTGTGATGTCAGTATTTTGCTTCCCTTTGTAGCTCCTAGCTTCAACATTGCGATGTGCCACAGACTCACTATTGGGCTCTGCTTGTGCCCCTTATACAAGATTTAACTTCAATTTTGCAGCAAAGCCCAAAACCCACTGCTTCCTTCACTGCTCCAGCAAACCTCCTCCCCACAGGGGATGCCCTAAGGGTAGCTGTGAGAAGTGGGGCAGGGGCAGGTGGAGACCCTCCCGGCCTGGTCCAGCCCCTTGGATTCCCACTTGTGGTCACCAGCTCCTTCCCAGCAGATCAGTTAAGAACAAGGGGAAGAAAGTCCTCCCTCCCCAGTGGGGAGTGCGCTCAGTGAGCTCTGACAGCATCTGCCAGTTCAGAAGTGGAGAGGGTGAGTTCATGGACACCACCTGCACCTATGGGTGGGAAAAGGAGCAAGCACAAGCATACCCCACAAGAGCCCAAAAGCAGCAGCAGAAAGTGACAAGGCTTTTGTCATCTCCTTGAATGGCACCCCTGACTGCCATGGCTCAGTGCACCGGTTTTTTTTTGCGATGTGTAACATTTATCTCAAGAATCACGATGTGGCTGATATTCACGATGCACAGTCTCTGAAAAAGATTTAATATAACTGCCTCATTTGTTACAGAGCACAGGAAACATAAAAATCTAAACAAGAGCAAACACACAGTTCATTTCCCACTGCAGTTACCTGACCAAGCAGAATCTCGTGGAGACTCTGAGATCCTTCTCTCCCCATCTTCCCACACTGGACTCTCCTCAGCTTTGCTGGTTTATCACCTAACACAACTTCAGCTGAAAAGCCAGCTCAGCTGACAGTCAAGGGGAATCCCACTGCCTCGGTGACTCTTTGCTGCCCCTTATTCAAGCAAGACTGCCAGGAAGCGCTTGTCTGAGCTGATAATTGTGAATTTAATGTTTGATCTAGAATAACAGCAAAAGGAAATTAATGTTTTAACTATGTGCAACTGCACATGTTGTCTACATAGCTCTCTCTATATTTTCAATTATGTTTTGTAAAGAGAGATTAAGAACATGCAGTGATAAACTAGGAATGCTAAATCACTCACAGATTTAGCATTCTTGTGAGTGGCTGTTCCTTTCCTGACTTCCAGCAAAAGAAAAGCGAATTTTCCTTCCTCTGTAACGAGAGAACCATGACACTTACCTGGATTCACACACAGTTTTATGAGAATTAAATGGGGTGTTTTCCTACTGACATTTGTAATTTTTATCCATGCATGGGATAGCACAAGATTTTGTGCTTTTAGAAGAAAATGATCAGTTTACAGAGTTCAATAGAACAGAATAATTTCCACCTGTCAACTCTTAATTATATTTTTTATTTGTTCTAAAAACAGTAGACTAAAATCCAGCGAGAAATAGTCAAAAATCAAACTTAACATACAAAACTTCATAATGCAAAAAAAAAAAAAAAAAAAAAATCTTTACCATTTCAAATCTACAAGGTTTGGAGGAAAAGCATCTAAGTATTTTCCAATTTTGAAAAAAGGCCAGATGCAGTCTCTTTAAATTACAGTAAGCATAAAAATATAGATGTGCAAGCATGCAGCATTTTAAGCTCTAAGAGTAAACAGAATGTGTTTTCTATCAGAATCGTTGCAATCATTTAAACGCCAATCTTCAAACTCTTTGAGTCTAATATTGAAATCTGAAATTAATATATGTGGAGCAACAAGGACACCTTGAGGCAAGTTAGAAAAATGCAAAAATTTCTATTCCACATTGATACGGGAGGACTTACAGATTCTCTGTAAGTTTGAATTCCTTGGAATTGGCACATGATGTAAATGATAAGCTCTTAAAACTGTTTGACAAATTCCCACAAGTTCCACAGAGTATTATTAAAGCAGTGATTGGTCAGCACTCCTGAAATGCTAGAATATATGCTTTCTAGTTAGGTGAATTTACTTGCTAATAGCTTTGAAGATGGACCTGGTTTTGCAATACACTAATCTTGTTGTTCTGAGTTGCTTTTCTCCTTCTTACAGAAGCCAAAAAATTTCCTTCCCACTGCTCTGTGTAGTATTACACCGTACATACTTCTAAAAGAAAAAGTATAAAAATAGTGAAAAGGTTTCTGAAGAAGTATTAAATGCAAATCTACACAAAAATTAAAAACTTTTACAGTTCGTTGTCACTCTCTATGAGTTTCAAGTATTCCTTTAAATTTGTACCTTTGAAAAACTGATATAACAGTAAACATTTTCCAAAAAGAAGTGGGAAGTGGAAAATATCTTATACTTCTTATTTCGTTTAGGATTTTTTGCAGGTGAAAAATCACTTTTTTTTTAGTATAGCCTCTAAGTTAGAACTGGAGTTGTGGGGCCGTTTGTAGAGCTTTCTGTTCCCTTAGTGCTATCTGCAGCCTTAGAATGATCACATACTTCAGAAGGCTCATTTACTTCTGGCGTTGATGGTGTCAGATCAATAGTGATCAAATCCGTTTCCTGATCTGTTTTTTCTACTTCACTGCAAAATTCAACTTTGTCTTCCTGCTTCTTTATTTGTCCATTCTGTGCAGGGTAGGTACAGGCAATGGTGTCATACAGAAATTGGTAATGTTCCTTAAATAAAAAGGGAAGAAGTTAGTATGAATGGAATTCTCAGAGCTCAAGAATCAACCCATTCTTTCCCCATTTTCTTAAATTTGAGAAATGTAACAGTAGTTACATCGATGTGGTTGAACATGCAAGACTGCATATGAAGCAGCTTTCACAGTTTTTGGTGTACAGTGTTGCTTCTATGGTTTACTCTGATTTCATGTGTATGCAATGTCTCTGCAACTAGCTGCATCGGATGTTCCAAGCTGAGTCACTTGGTACCCTCTTGGTTCACAGAGTCCTAAAACCACATTTTTTAGAGTACCTAAGTTGTAAATAACATGCATTTTAAGGAGTTTAGGAAAGTCATCTAATAACCTGCCCCATATCAATGACACTGAGGTCTGGTCTATTAGTAAATGCACAGAGACACAATTCGTCAGGAATGATTTAAACAAAACAAGTCAATGGCTGCTAGCCTGTGAAATGGAGTCAGCCTCCTAACTCTGCAGAAGTTAAGGGACACCGTGCATGTACATCTCTGAAGCAACTGCAGAAACATTAATTTATGCAATTTATAATTTTATAACATGCACCCTTCCATAAAGGTGTTATAGAATTGCAGCTCTGGACATCTCTCAGACTCCTTCATTCTTATCAGTAACGGCCAATTCCCAAGCAGTGATGAGAGGCTGTGAATGTCCTGAGTAGAATTAGTGTTCCCTATGCAGAAATGATGCATAAGATTTTGATGGTACTAGTGACCATGATAAGTAATCTTGTAATTTTTTCTGGCAATTCATAAGATTTACTTACAAAGGTGGAGACTACTCCCAGCCTGGTGCGACGAAGAGCTTTTACTACTTGGAAAACATCTATTACTTCTTCTATTTCTGCACTTTCCAAGAGAGTCATTAAAGCACAAAATACACCAGTCTGCTGTGATCCATCACTAGAAGATGTTGTAAAATGTACATGTAAATGTAAAACATAAAATCAGCAAGTCCTCTGACTAATTGTTAGATTTATTTCAAAGTCTACATATGAATTTGTCGTGGGTTAGGTTGAAAACTTCCTCCCCCCCCCACACACAGCCGGTCACTCCCCCTCCCCCACCCCCAGGAATGAGGGAGAGAATTAAGGGATAAACGGGAAACCCGTGGGTTGAGATAAGAATGATTTAATACAGATGATTTAATACAGTATAGATGCTCACCACCCCCTCGTATGCGAAGCCCGTCTCGTCCCGAAAACTGCAAATCCCGGACGAACGCGAGGCCCCGAAATAGAGAGGGGCAGAGAGAGAGAGAGAGAGAAAAGAAAGAAAAAACAGCAAAGCAACAGCGCAGCAAGCGCAAAAGAGCAAAAGTGCAAAAGAGCCAAAGCGCAAAAGCCCTTCTTCCCGGCTGACCCTCGCTTTAATAGTGGGCATGACGCTGCATGATATGGAATACTAATTGGCCAGTTTGGCCCTCAGTCTTAAGTTCCACACAAATCACAAGGGGAATCGTGTCCCCCTTGTCCCAACTATGCTCCCCCCTTATCCTGCCGTGTTTCTGCACTCCGGCACACTGAAAAGTCCTTGGCAGCTTGCTATCAGCGTTCTTCTCAGAGTGAGCCTCTGAGTAAAACCAAAACACGGAGCTCTTCTAGCTGTTAAAAAAACTCTGTCCTAGCTAAAACTAGGACAGAATTACATTTCCGAAACATTTTTTACTGGACTGAAATTGTTAAAATTAAGAATACCTGTAGGACACACTCAAGACAGTTTATCTAGAGGCTACCTGGATCCCACAAGGCCACTTAAGGAGTAAGGGAGAAATTAGAAGCTTCAGATTTACAGTCTCCATGATTGTTAGCAAGATTATCCTCTGTTTTAGATGCTAGGCAAGGCTATTCCTGGAAGTGGTCCTAAAAAAGTGGGCTTATGTACTGGAGTGAGAGTTGAACCTAAAAGTTCTGCTAGATCCTCATTATTGTAGTAGACTATGGGAGCACTCTGACCTAGCATTTCTTCTTAAAACACGTGTACTGGGCAAGAGCAGCTAGTTTTGACCACCTACTCCATGCCCACACTCGCCAAAGAGAAACGTGCTCATGTTTCAGCACTAGAATCAAAAAGGTCAAGCTTGAGTAATTGAAGGAATCTTCTAGGGAGAGCTGAGTTTCCAGACACACAGGAAGGCTTGTGGGAAAAGGCAGGCGTCCTGAAATTGTGGTTGCTACGTATATCCAGAGTTTAGAGCTAGATTAAGCTATGTACTGAATTCAGACCCACCGGCAGTGGACGACGAGTGGGACACTGCGAGTGCTCCTATTGTCCTCGGTGGCTGTTCTGGTTGGGACTTTTTGTTTGAGGTTGAGAATCATGTTGACTAAATCTTTGGGGTTTTCCGGAACATCCAAGCCACTCCACTTGTGATACTGATACTGATACACCTTCTGTGTTTCTTTCCTCTGAAAAACGGCAGTGGAAATGTAGTTAATGTTCAGATTAAAATAAAAGATTCACGTAGTACATCTATTGCAGCTGATTTACAAAAGAAAAATTATATTCCTAAGAAACTGCATGGTGATGCGAGTTCTACCTCAAGAACATGAGGTAGACATCCAAGCTTTGCTTAAACTACCAAAGACAGCCGACCTCCAGAGACTCCACTACCACCACCTCAGCAATTCATTAAATGGAAAATCTGAGCTAATTTATAGTATTTATTATGATAGGCTGCTGGTCTGGAACAGAAAAATATCTCAATTTCTTAGAGCAGGCGGTAAGTGCAATAGGGACTGTCCCTTCTCTTTCTTTAGGCTAAGTTTATAAAAGGAAAACAAATGTAAAACTTCATTTTGGAATTTACAAACTTTTACCTTCAGATGTGTAACATCAAATGCACGTATGGTATAGCTAGGACAACAGTTGACATCTGTTATTTGAACTTCTATGCCATCATACGTTTGTTTTCCTTCTCCCCAGTACTGTGCACAGAGTTCCTAAAAAGGATAAAAGCACAAGTCAGTGCTTACCATTCAAACTTCCTTTTATTTTATCTGCCACATGCACTTACAGAATATGTATTCACTTTAAAGAAGTAGGAGCATCATTATATTTTAAAACATAACATCATACACTCTTCCCCTCAAAAATTAATTAGAAAGTAAATTAAGAAGGTAAATAATAGAACAAATTATATTGGAAATCCAAATTGCTCAACCTATGAAACACACTTAACTAGAGGAAGGGAATGAGAGAGGGTAGTACGGTGTTTTCTTGCATATGGAAGGCCCTTAATATATCAGTGGGAAGATGATGCCTTCACCTGATCTCCTTCTTTCAGCTCTGTCAGCATAACAATGACTTTGACTTTTCTTTGGAAGATCATTTGCCAGAAGTCAGAGACAGTTTCCTGCAGTGGTCCCTGCGTTGCAATCATGGCTTTTGGACCCCAGTAACCCTATAAAAGAAATTTTTAATATTTTTTTTTTAAATTAATTTGAAATATGATTGTCAAGTAATTGAATGCATTCTCATTTAAAGAATACCTAGTGGAATAAACTCATGAATCCTTTTGTTTATAGGACAAATATGCCTATCACAGTAAGCAATGGTTTTACAGGAATTCTACGAGCCAAATGACATTAAACTCAACCCTCCTAATAACAATATCACTGCCAGATTGACAATAAGGTATACTCATGCTGCAGTGGGTGAAACCTGCCATTTTCTGCAAAGCATATTTTTAAGGGCTAAAACCTTCAATTCTACATAGCTGTTTAATCTGACCAATAAGAAATTGAGTTTATATCACATGAAGTTGGTGCACTAGTCAGTTCACACTGAGCTACTCAAAAGTAAAAGTACATCTACTCTGAATAGATATCCTAAACACGCAGCATTTTACAGGATTCAGATAAACCTAATTTAGCTAGTAATTCCATTAAAATCAGTTACTTCATTAGTGACCAGTAACTGCTCTCCTTCTTTTGGAGGTATATATGACAACAAAAAACTGATGGCCTCAATTTTCACTAGTGTGGTTTTCTATAGGTGAATAACTATACTCACTTTTCGCTAACAGGTAAAACACTAATGTGGATCAACTTGTACACAGGCAGATGCTCACTAATAGAAATACATGTTACCATGAGGCCAGTGGGAAAGCTAGTGGCTTTAAACATAACAAACACACACACAAAAAAGTGTTTCTATGTTTAGTCTTACTATTTAAGATTGCACAGTCTAGGACCATGCAAGGGGAAAAGTACCATCTTATTACTGCAGCAAAATTTAGAAGGTTTTGATGATTAAAACCATAAAAGATTTGCTAATTGATTGTCAGATCTTTCTCCCTTATTCAGGTAAATCCATTCAGGTAAATCCTGTTTATCCTGATACCCTATCCTTCTATTTGTGAAGTCAATAAGAGAATAAGAGCTCAAGCTAGCATACAGTTTTAGCTGAAAGCTTGTGAAATACTTATAGTGGATCCTCTAAATACACACAGTTATGAAGGAAGCATTGATGTATTTGCTTGATTCCTCACAGTCGCTGTCCTCATCTGAGGAATCATCTGAATCATGTTCACCCTCCTTACTGCATTCGTCTTCGTGCCTGATCGGTACTCGGTTAAAGTCATCTGCATGAGACAAAGTGTCACCATCATGCAACACTGCTGCTCAGGTACAGCATTAAAGGGGGGCTGTCACCATACGTGTTGGGGGGTGGGGAAGAAAAAGGCCACTCCTTTCACAACAGACTGCAGAAAAAATGCCACTTTATTTGAAATAAACTTAAACACTCCCAATAATTCGCATTTTTAAAAAAATCATCTCTTCTTTTTTAAAACACTATAAGAAGTTTCTGATTTACAGTGTTGAGAAAAAACAGTCAAATACATCTCAGTAAGGTAATTTACTGCCCTCATATTTCAAAATTTAGTAGGTTTTCTTGCAGATAAAATAACAGATAAAATAAGAGAAGGTTCATGGAAAATACTTACATGGAATTGTGTTGGCATTTCTATTTTTGCTTTTATTTTCCTCCCGATTCCCAGTGTTCTGTGTCCGCCACCCCTTATAGGAAGGTAATCTCTAAAGAAAGACGATGCTTGTTATGATGCTTGATTAAAATGGCTCCTGGGATCATGGTCCCCTCTGGACATCAATACCACGTCTTCATTTCTCAACGCCTCTCTTCAGTTCTATAAACTTTGGTCACATTTGGACTGTAGTTTAAAAATGCCCGCTATACCACGTACAATGGCACAGGAAATCATGCACAGAGACACAAACAATTATTCTGTGCTCCCTGTCTTTGTTAAAAATACTGACATCAAAAGCAGGAATAGAATTTCATTAACTTTCAACTTTTTTCGGGAAAGTAAAGGAACTGTTCCTGTGCCAGAAAAAATAAAATAGCACAGAAGTGATCTATCATGTATGGTGTCTCTATTTCATGATTACTGTGCAAAGCACTTTCTAATACAAGTGGGAGGAAAGGGCACTAGAATGCAAAGCTTATTTACCTGAAACTCTGCCTCCAGCAGAGAAGGATCACTCGGAGGATCTTTTCTTTTCAGATTGTTAAGATAGGAATGCAGTTCTGAGAGACTGACCTCTGTTTCTCCATACTGATTGTATTCCACTAGCGCTTGATGGATAAGGATGTACTGTGACTGGTGTTTCCCATGTGAAAGGTTTAAAGACAAAGTTATTAAAATAAAAAAAATATATTAAAAAGATCATATCACCTTTTCAAATCATTGTAAGAAACTATTACTCACATGATGTTATTAGCGTTAATAATACTAAGAATTAACTTTAAATAGGCACTAAATACAAGTATTAAATATCAGAGCGGCTTCCAAATTAGACATTTTGGAGCACACTTAAGGTGTTGGATGAACAGTGTTCTGCAAATAAATTTAATGTCATTCAAGAAACATGCAACTGAGATTTGAAAGATCTGCAGAACATAAAAATAATTTAAAATCATGCATTGTGTCAGTCAGTAACTTTTGTTGTACTCTCAACTCAACTGAAACTCCTACCTAGACAGACAGTTTTTAAAACTTGAAATTAAGTTTGACTACATAAGCTCAATTTTGCATTTGTGAATTGTACTCCAAAAGCTGGATTATCAAATCTAAAATGTTGTTGGCTTCTATTTTTAAAGCCTAAACTTAAAAAGTTGAAATTTCTAAAACTGAAGAACTGTGTTCGATCTTCTTCCTCTCTCTTAATATTTTTCACAGCTGTATTTTCTGTGAACAACTTCAACTGAACAGTAGCACCACCCGAGACTGAGCAGTGCACTTTTGAGAAAGACTGATGAAGCCCTAGCAAAGGAAAGTTGTGACAGGAGTTTTAGCCAGATACCTCTACTTGAACCATGAGGCACCGCTGCCGACGCAGCTTCACAACATAGCCATAAACATCCACTCTGCCTTCTGCATCCAGCCCCTCCAGCATGGCATCAATTCCTATATATGTCCCAGTGCGCCCAACACCAGCACTGCAGAGCACAAAGGGATTTGGTTATTGAGAGGGAATGGCATCTCCCTCCCCCACTCTGAGAGGGAAGCAGCCAGTGAGAGAGCAGAAGTGAAAATGTGTAACAACAGATTATGAAGCAACTGAAAACAGTTCTTGCTGTAAATGAATTGGCAACACAATGATGCGTTTGTATTTTAAATATCTTTTAGTGAAAGTAAGGCAAATATTGCCAAACGCAGTGCTTATAACCAGAATAGCCCAACATTTATCTGGCTACTTTCCAAAAGTCTGTGTATTGTCAGATTTTATCGACCTGAATATCTTTCAGAAAACAGGATTATTTACACATCTTTGGCTGCCTCTCTCAAGTAATCAAGTCACGAAACTGAGGATCAGTCAAATACCTTTGCCAGCTCCCTTTTCTGAATAGTTTCCCTTCATGTTCATTTAACATTAACATAATATTTAAAAACAATACATATTTACCTGCAATGAACCACTATTGGGCCACTAAAAAAGTTGCTGAGAGCATTAACTCTGCGTCGGAGTTTGAGAAGGAGATGTGGATCCTCAGGGACTCCATGGTCTGGCCAGCTTGTGAACTGAATATGAGTGACGTCTCTTCCAGTTGTCCTTTCTCTTCCCTAGACAAATGAAGTGTGGGGTTTTTTTATACATATACTATATATCTACATATATATACACACACACACACAAAAAGCCAAAATCAAGTACAGACATACGAAGCAGAAGAAAAAGAAGGGCAACAGCCATCAAATGTTGCAACAGAAATTTCAAAGTGTAATGTTGTAATCCCAATGGTCTCTCAGATTATGTCATTTTTCATATTCAATTTTTATTAAAAAATAGCCATGACACAGGAATACACAAATCCAACAGAGGGCAAGAAAGTGGTTCAAAATGTTGCTAAAAATATTTTTTTCTCAGGCTAGCCTATGATCCAGAGTATAATAAATCTCCCCACTCTATTTATAAATAACTTGGCCAGTGGGTAGCTCTGCTTACTTCCAGGGGTACAGGTTGGTAATTCTCGTATGTCTCCTAGGAGTAGTCTGCTGAGGGTACAATAGACTAAAAAATAAAATTTAGACTGTAACTGTAACTCAGACTTCTACCATGTAGTAGAAGATACAAGAAAACCTATGATTTTCAATGAGACTGACTTTCTTATGTCGCTTAATTAAAGGCTTAAACCATGTCAAGTCTTGGGTGCTATTTTCATGTGTTGCTGCTAGATTAAAAGAAAGCACATATATTTTTATAACCACAATTATAAAACAAAATGAGAAAGATATCTCAACGGTATTTTTTTACTGGCCAATATTTAGTATGGCTATATGGGTATTTCCTTAGTAATTAACTCCCCCAATTCTTGCTCAGAGTTGAATTATCCAGTTGTGGCACAGTTATTTGCCATTGTTTCAGTAATTATACGGAACTATTCCACCAGAACTGCAGAAGTCTCCACTTTCTTGTCAGGAACCACTCTTAAATTCCACAACCAATATCATTTTTATCTATACTAATACGATGTCAGCCAAACAGAGAGCAGGTAGCTCTAAAAATATCAGTCCTCAACCTGCAGCAATCTCTCATTTCTAATGTCAGATTGTTCTAGTCACAGAGTAATGTTTTTGTTAAGTTAATTCTTAAAACCCTGATAGTCTCACTGTCTTTGCACAAAGTTACAACTTTCTGCTAACTGGGTCACTTCCTGAGTAAATTTCAACACAATATGAGACAGTAGAATAGGAATTTCCAGTTCTAATCATGGTTCAAGATGAGTGGAGTCTGTTGCTTGATCATTTTGCTGAAGATCTGTCAGCAGATTCACTCTTTGAGTCTTAACACTTTCAGCTGACTTATGCCCCGTTGACCCTCGCTGAAATATATTTGCAAAGGGCCTGAGAGGAGCATTTAGTCTTAGATGGCAAATTTTGCTCTCAATTATGCACAGAGCAACTCATATGATTTCAGATGTATAAAAGAGAGCAATTAATTTGCCTTAATGATTGTACATGTAGCCAAATGGTAATTTAAAAACACTTAAATTTATAAATTTACTTGAGATTACCAGAATTTGTAATTGTCCCACTGTACAATTATCATGAGAGTAGATGGCACGTAGATGTGAAGTACATGGATTTTACTTGCAGAAGATTATGCTGAGATACACATAAACTAGTAAAATTTCTGTGTTAAAGAGCAAGTTAAATATCTAAGGATACCACAGTGTTTTAAGTTTTCCATACTTAACAGCATATTAACAGTTTCCTCTTAAATGTAGATTCCAGAGTACTAAGAAAAATCCATTTTAAAGTTGGGAAATATATGTCTAACCCATGGCAGGGGGTTTGGAACTAGATAGTCTTTGAGGTCCCTTCCAACCCAAACCGTTCTATGATTCTCGTAAGGAATCACATTTACGTCTAACAAGTTGTCTCTTAAACTATAGTTCCTTAGGGAAAACCAGCAGAGTATCTTCCATTGCTAGGTGACTCTTCTCCTCTTAAAAGGATCTCTCAACAATACCTACAGACTCCAAATAGACACTCTAATTCCAGCCAGTCTTACACTTTTGAATCAACTTACATTTGTGATATGTAGTTTCTGAATGACATAGTCTGGACACGTTTTAGTTTCATTGATCTTCACAATGATGTCCCCATATGTTGCAGAGCCATTCTCCATTGATGGCCAGTACTGGGCACATTTGTTCTATAAGGATATGAAGTTAAGTTAGCAGCATGACAGCAAAGTGGCAGAGAGCTGAGAGCTAGAAGAAGGTCTGATTTAAAATAGACAGCGGCTTAGCATGGTTTTTCAAACTTCTCATAGATCTTGTCCTCTCCTGAAAAGGCGGTCACTGCTTAGGATTTCAGTGCTAAGTAATTCCAAATACCCAACAACTCAGGTCTCTGAACTGAAGTTTATGCCAATGGAATTTGACTTGGGACATAAAGTGAGGGAAAAATCCTGTATACTAGTTGCAGAAGTGAGTATCTACTGTTGCTGTTGCCTAAAAGCTGTAGAAAAGTTTGTAGATAAGTTTGTAGATACTTCTGTGGCTTCTTATTCAGTCTTCAGTGAGGGAAATTGCTCCTGCCTGCCTATAACATCAGCTTGGGGATGTGTAAATCTGCATGCTGTCAACATTTTCATCTTTAAAAGCAGTTAAAACAGCAGTTCCCCTTCTTCCTGCTGTACCTAGAATAAAGAACAAAGGCAAGCCAGAAGCACCCAACCTTCACATTAAACAAAGGGTAAAGAAAATGGATTAAAAAGAATATTCTGTCTAAGATTTACTGAGGGCATTGCTAGGGTATCAGAAGATAATAGACAGGAGAAAAATACAAACCATACCTTTTATGACAGGTCTGTGAGGAGCTAGAGTTCTACCTCGAGCCCTTTTCTGTATTTATTAGTTGTAATTTGGAAACTTATCCTCTGCTACTTACAGCTGTGACTAAAGTGACATTTTCTGATAAGACTGGTAATTCCATAAGGCAACATTATTTTGGCATGCTTTCCAACATAGGTTCTGCCACAACCAGAGAATAGCAAAGAATGAAAACAAAGTACTAAGAAAAAAATGTAATTCACCACAGAATAGCAACTGTTTGCTGACAAAAGAAGGACAGAATGATGGATGGATGGGTGGGTGGATATTTCTCACCCTGTTTCCTTCCTCACAGCGAGTCACCATGACAATAATTGTTGCCTTCTGTTCCCAGATCATTCTCCAGAAATCATCCGTGGTTTCATCCTTGGGGCCTGCAGGAGATATTTTAAGGAAGTTTTTTGAAGAGTGCAGCTACACAAAAAAACACTTGCCTTCTTGACATGCTTAGCCATGCAGTCTGAAAAGCTAACCAAAGACCATGCAAATAATAGCCACAGATTTGATTTCATTATGACTGCTGCCATTAGGCTACCACATGTTAAAAGTCTTGTATATATCTTTAGTGCATAGTTGTGAAATCTGAAAACTTTTAGGATAAAATTATGCATCATGAGAAATCTGCCTTTGAAGTACAATTTATTCATCTTCACAAAATTCCCTAAGCATAAACTCATTGGAAGTTTTTCCATATTAAATTTCAAAATGTCAGATTTACAATTTTTCTTTAAATTTACTAACACTTTTCCAATACTCTAACAAAAAAATGGATTCATGAAGAAAGCATATTCTTTTAAGATTAAAAATTACCTTGTGCAGCAATGTATTTTCTTGGTTCTTTGAAGCCCTATAAAAAAGTACAATGTTATTCAACTTTTAGAAAGGAAGCATGATCAATTTAAAAGATTTGCAACTTTAGAAATAAATTCAATATGCAACAGTCTAATAATACCAAATGCATTACAAGGATAGAAAGAACTCAAATAGAAAATGTCAAATGTGTTTGATGTGTGAAATGTACAGACTACAGTCCAAGACTTTTTTTAAGTCACTCACATCAATATAACTTGCATTGATATAGTCTGATCCTGGGTCTCCTGGGATCTCTGAGAGCTCAACGCGGTTATGATCATCTGTTTAAATAATTTTAAATGAAATAATTATATTATCTCAAGACACTGAGAAAATAAACATTTATAAAACATTCAAAACTTGTAACAAATACTCACATGGAAGGATATCAATGTAACGGTTTTTGTTCTGATTATGGCTTTTTTTGGCTTCCTTTATTGAAAATTTAGTGAAAATTCTAGGAATACTCTGTAAAATACAATGTTTCTTTTATTACATAAGCACATATTTAAAATAGCTTCTACTTACATTCAAAAGCATATGGAATAAATTCCGTACTACTGAGTCTAGAAGATAACATTCTATTTCATATGATACTACTTCATATATGTCTTATATATAAAATAAGAACATTTATTTTCTCTTGATTGTATATCTCCACAATTATATATTATTTATATCCCCATGGCTATGCAGTAAGAGAGAGTATTAAAAGGTACTTTAGAATGAGAAGTATTTAAACTGTGTATTTTATACTTTTGCTGAAAAACACCTTCAGAGAAAAAAAAAAATATCATCATCTTATAACAAGGAGAGCTCGGTAGCAAAATTAACTGAAGCCTATTTGACCTTAGATGAGAATTCACTTAATTTTCTAGATTCTTAAATTTTTATTTATTTGTAACCAGTGCATATACTTTTAACACGTTCTTGAACAGAACTCTTCCAACCACCTGGCTACAAATCTGTGGTATATTTTAAGCCAATGACAAACCTGAAATTCATCCAAGAAAAGCCTTCCCTCATCAGCAATCTTCCTCTTGTATGTGTCCAGCAGTTGCTCAGAAGGTATTGGCTCTATGTTCAGAAGTTGCCTTTCATCATCTTTAACTGTGTAAATACATTAACGTTACTGACTTTCGAAATGTAAATTACATTTCAGTAAACATGATTGCCAAATTACCAAATCAACAAAAGGATAAACCTCTTTATTTTTAAGAAGCGTGTTTATTTATTTATTTTTTTTTAAATGGTGTTGCCTGAGCCATCTGTGAGCAGAGAGGCCCTGGGAATAACAGAACTTAACTCAGCTCTGCTGCCTGACTGGAGACACCTCAGGAGGAAGCCACAGTCAGGGACTTTGCATTAACAGCACTTTTGTACCAAGTGGGGATTGTCACATTCAGGTGACGGCAACAGACAGTCCAAACACCCACAACAGTTGCATGGTCGTACCCTCTATTTCAGTTCTGACAATTTATTGTCAGGGGTAAAATGGATTACTGTGCAAACAACCTACAAATGTAACAAGATGCATTGCCTACTTTTCCAAATTTTCTCCAACTTATTCTCTGAGTTGAAATAACCCGTAATATCAAATTTAATGATAATGACTGAACAAGTTTTAACGTCTCTAACTAAACATTGATTTTTTTTCATTTCCATTGAAAAGATTTTTGTTTTTAACAACCATGTGTCTAAGCAAATGGATTTGAATACCAGCACAGTATTATTTCCCATTTAATGTAGTTAATTTCTGTGGGCTTGAATGTCATAAATGATTTTTTCTTCAAGCTTTCTGATATTGACTGGTTCTGTCTTTCTTCACAGGCTTTGAAATCTTGTGCAAAAAGTTGCACGTAATGTTCAATTTCAGTCTTTGGGATTTGAAAGTCTTCAAAATTTTAAAGTACAAATTGACTGGCTTATGTTTAAACCCTTGCTTTTGAAGAAGGTACACAGGAAAGGGAAATTCTGGTTGAAGCTGTATTTGTTTCTGGGCTTACTTTCAGTGTTAAATATATTACAATCATTGTCAGGGATAACAAAATTTGGTTTGTAATTCAATAATAAATAAGAGTTTTACAAACACTGATAAACTTTCAGTTCATTTAAATGTAAATACTTCTGCTATGTATTTACTGAAGTATTTTTTTTTCCTCCAAATGAGGTGTTATCATGTTGCTATCTATCATCTATGTACACGACCTAGAATGTAAACAATCCAAAGGTGGCAGCAAGACACGAGACTAATTTTATTTCCGCTTGCTAAATATATAAAGATACTCACCTGCAACAAGGCTCACATCTTCAGAAGAATTGCTGTAAAAAGCAAAAGCATCTGTAAAAGCTTTGACTAGTAAGACATATATATGATAAGGAATTAAATAAAAGCTGTTTTGTATGTGAACACTAAAACCCTTCATAACCATCAGACTACATTACAAGCTCTCTCTGAAACACGAGTGCTACAACTGGGACTTACAGTCCCTACGCAGAGGTGTTTGGGATCCTTGTCTTCCTACTCTGAGCACTATTGAGGGGGAGAAACAAGGGAACTACATCAAACAGCTTTACTGCTTGTGTAATTTTGTCCATATTGCCTATAGCAAATATGTCCTTAATTTCTTCACTGGAGTGAATGCTCAAAGCATCTTTGTTCCTCGTGCTAAATAAGTGACAAAAATCTAACACATACATAAAATAGAATGAAATTAAGTTTAAATGCTATGTAGCCAAGAACAAGCCAGACTCTCTGGAGCTGTATGAGCAAAAATTAGTTTTGCTTCCCTGAGCATAGAAGTTTGCATTTGAGCAAGAGCAGCAACCTGTTTGCCTAAGGAGAAGAGCAGGGTGGGGAATGGGGCTGGAAGAGATGAGTCCCCAAGTTCTGCTGTTGACAGAGGGCTAAGAGGTTTCTGAAGAACTTGCCCCAGCTCCATCTTCTCTACCAGCAGTGAATGTCCCTCACACATTGCACCACCTCCCTTCGTAGCACGAGCAGCAGTCAGTCTGGCTTTCCAGGGCCCTGGCACAGTTGTCAGAGAAGGCAACGACCATTCTTCTATCACTATCTGCTGTCCTACAGAACTGTCAAATCACCCAGAGATAAGTAGAATAAATAAAGCTTCCCTGAGATATTGTTTTGGGTGAATAAGCATTTGAAAGAGTTCCAAGAAAGTGTATTTTCATTACTTTTAACTTAAATTGTGAAGGAAAGGTTTTCCAGATATTTGCGAGCATTTTTTCACAAAACTAGTGACAAAACATTTTGTCCTATCAGATCAGTTCTTCTGTGGTCTGAGAAAGGGTATAGTGAAGAGATTTTAAACCTAGTTCATTATATCTGCATTGCCAGACAAACCACCAAAAATTGAGTGTCTTTTAAAAGGATTAAAAGGTTAAATGATATATTTTGCCAGTATTAACCAAGTATCAAAGTTGGAACATTTTTGCCCTACCTATTGGGTAATTTTGTGGAAAAACAGAAAGCTTTTCCCATCCCGCCCCATTTATATGAGAGAGAGAAACAAGAAGCTTACCCCAGCTTTTTTTTGTGAAGATCATAGATTTTGTACAGAACCAGTAGTAAAGCAATTGATGTCACAACAATCAAGAATGCCAAGAATATAATCAGGGCTTTAGAATTATCTAGCAATAGAAAGAGAATACATTTATTATTTTTGAATAAATAGTTAACATTTAAAAATTACTTTTTTTTTTTTAATCTAAATACTTCCTAGAAACCAGGGCTCATTGATTTTGTTGAGGTTTTTTTTGTGAAAAGAGCTAAACATTTTAAATTCAGCTGCTTCTGACCTGGGAGGTGGGAATCCCTGACAAGTCACAGATGTTCAGCTCCTGAAACACAGGATCTGAATAGAGGAAAATAATCCCAAAGTGAATAGTTTAAGTTAGAGAAATGAATTTTTAGTTGCATTCTAATGTCTCCTGAAGAAACCACAGCTGTGTAATAATTCTGAATTACCGTCAATGACTTGTCAACATGATCTGTTACATTAATGCTGAATTATATTATTTTATTCTTTATATTATAAATATATATA